GCCCCCTTGAGAGTTTTTCAGTCTCAAATTCATCCAGACTGTGCCTCCAGCAGTTTGTCAATTACAGTTTAGGCTTTCCTGCCTGGGTAATGCTTCATACTTGTGAGCTTTTGCCCTGGTAAGTTTGAGTTTTATTTTCTGCCCATTGTGTATCCATGATTTGGGGTCAGCATTTTGTCCTGTGGCTTCAATTCTCTGATGGATTTTAGAAGAGATGATTTCCAGTGTGTTTAGCTTCTTTCTTTTGTGGATGGGAGTGATGATTTCTAAGTTTTTACATGTTGGATTGGAAACCAGAAGTATACTCCTTTATTTTTGTTTGTAGCATTCTATTAAATGCTACAACCTTGTGAATAGTATGAGTACTCAGTAAATATTCATGGGATTAATATGTTCAGAACTTTAATTATTCTGAATTAAATATTGTCTGAAATATGAGGACAGAAGTCCAAAAAATAAAATTTTAATGACTGTTTTAATTGGAAAGGCTGTTATTTCCTGGTTCTCTATAGCTGTACTTGTCCAATACTGTAGCCACTAGCCACATGTGATTTTTTTTCAAGTTTTTAAAAATTGTTCTTGATTTTTTAGAATGTACAATTCAGCAGTCATTAGTATATTCACACACAAAGTTGTGCAACTCTTACCACTGTGTAATTTCGGAACATTTCATCTCCCCTAAAATAATTCTCATGCCCATTAACAGATCCTTCCCATCTCTCCCTTCCCTCTCCTTTCTTAACAGCCAATAATTTACTTTCTATATCTGTGAATTTGAATATCACATGTGGCTTTTGAACACATGTAATGTGGGTAATCCAAATTGAAATGTGAATATGATTTGTAAATTAAACACTGGATTTTGAAGACGTGAGCTTTTTACAAAATGAAAATATCTCAGGAAATTTTATTTTGATTGCTAGTTATTCTTTTTAGTGTGATTAGTAGATAATTTTGTGGCTCATATTAGCTATCTGTTAGAACCGATCTAGAACTTGTATTTAGTGAATGTCGTAAATGTTCCCCATGGCTTCAGTTTCCTTCTACTCTCAGTTTCCATGTCAGCCTGCTTTGGATTTGTGACATGCCCTAACCTTCAGAATTTTTTTTTTTTAAATATTATTAACTGCTTGGAAGGTGGAAATCTTTCTTAAAAGGGAAATCCTATAAGGGAATCTTTCTTATAAGGCCCTGAGGGGCCTTAGTAGGGGAAAATAAGTCATTCATATTAAATTCGGGGAAAACAATGGCAACTATTAAACCTTTTCATCTGCATTTTCAGCAAATTTTAGGGAGAATTGAATTTCACATTTATTTGCATGATACTGATAAACAGTGCTCCTAAATTTTGGTTCTTGTGATTTGACTGGGAAACAAACCAATAGTTTCTTTATAGCATATGAGAATGTGAGAATGTTCTGTAATGTTAGGGGTAATTCAGAGTTATATTTGTCTATCTGAAATTTAGATTGAAATTTTGTTTTATAATAAATTTTACAGAATAAATACACGTGAGAATAATGTGACAAGGGCTCCTTAAAAAACAACCACCACCAATATTTGCTTTAGGTGGAAGTTTTCTGCTCCTACATCATTGTCAAAAGTCAACATATTCCAATGTTAAATGACCACTATACATTCAGCATTTATTATATACTGTTTTATATACTGTATTCATTAAAGTCCCCCTGGAACTGTATATAGTAAGTTATATAGTAAGTACTATTATAATCCCCAGTTGATAGAGGATGAAACTGAGTTTCATAGTTGTTAGTTAACTTTCTTGAGGTCACATGTAAGTTTAAACAGGTTAAGTAACAATGTACTTAGCGCTTTTATGATGAAATCTTTTAGTTTTTAGTTTTTCTCACTAGAATGTAAGCTCTAAGTGGGCAAGGACTTAGTTTTGTTGACTTCAACACTTGAGATTTCTTTCTGGCATATAGTATACTCAAGGAATTTGAAAGAATTTTGTGATGATGATGTCAATTCACCAAGAGATGTGCCGTGGCCTTGGAAATCTATTAGAATTGCTTTAAATTCCACACTATTGCTTATTGGCAGTAATGCTAATTTACCAAATTCAGATTAGGTGTGATCTTATGTGCTATTTTGCATATTTTGTATTACATTTTAATAGTCCATTTAAAAATTTTACTAGGAACTGTAGCTTCTATTCATCTCTTTTCCTTTTACATGTTAGAAACACATTGGAGCCACAAAGGAACATCAGAAAAACCAGGACTACCAGAGGCCCCACTGTGTGTTTAGTTGAGTTGGGAGAAGAAAGTATAGAAAAGCAATTTTGTAGCTGTCCTCACAAAAAATGTGTAACACAGTTCTTCAAGGTTTCATACCAAAGCCATAGTGTTCCTGGTCATTAAAATGAATAACACATTGTTTTGTTATTTATTTTTAGGAATAACATTTCCTTCTTATACTGGAAACAGAGCTGTGAAAAGAAATTTCTAAAATAGGGCTTTGAAATCAAAGGTTTTTGTAACTAATATTATTAGAGAAAGGGTAACTATGCTGCTTCTTTCCAGAAGATTCTCATTTAAATTTGAGATTTGTATTCTCATTTTACAGTAATAAAATTGAGAGATGTTATGTGACTTACCTAAATTAATGCCACAAGTAAGTGACAACTTGGATTCAACTCCCATCTAACTTCAAAGGCCATACTTTTTAAAATACTGTCACATCTCTTGCCATTTTTCATTATATTCCTTACAGTTCTTGGTCTTAAGTGGGATTTTAAGGTAGTTTGGGCACTGGGAACAGAATTTTGTATTATGGAGTAATTGGATGTTAAACTGTGAAGATAATAAAGGATAATTGTGTGATAGAAAAATTAAGCTGTGAAAAATCTGTTTTTAACTTTCCATTTTCTTTTTATCTTTGGTTATCTGCAGATAAAGGCCCTACTCTAGACCATATAGGATTCTTCTTTATAATGGATTCATCATGGTGATTGTGTTTTTTTTAGCTAATTTAGTACATTTTTCATACACTAATAGTGTGCTTTCTCTAGAGGAAAAAAAAAGACCTATTTTTCTCAAATTATAATTTGGAGGTAGTGACAGAAATAAGGACAGAGGAATACTAATAAAATTAATAATTGTTTATTTAGCATTTTACTAACTCAAGAATTGGGGGCAATCTGGAAGGCAGCTTCTCTTATTTCTCTTATCTCTTCTTTTCCTCCCCAAAACATTAATCATCCTTTACTATCTTCACATTTTAGGGTTATGTACTTTTGGAAAGTGGGTATTGTGGGAACCTATAAAGAACTTTGAAGGCATTGATGATTTGCAAGATCGATTACTCTAGTTTTACTTAGAACTTTCAGGGGAGAAATGGAAGTCCTGTAGTTCTACTTGGGGCTTCTTACTTGGTCCGTGAAAGTGTGATGCCTCTGATTTTCATTTTAACATTTTTCATTCCTGTGCATACTGGAAACGTATTTATTGTTGGTAAAATTGTATATTTCATCCTCCACCACAAATACCAAAGGTGATAATGATTTTTGAGAGCACAGGAAAAAGTTTTTCATGTGTCGATTTGTAATTAATTTTAGTTTGGGGGCAAAACTAACTTCAGAAAAATATGAAAAACAATCCCAAATGTAAAAGGTTATGAAATAAACCTACTAATTAGAATATTTTAAGTGCATAAAATAAGTTTTTAATCTTATGTCATTAAAAGATTAATTAGAAGTCATGAAATCTTTAAAACTTGGGTTTTAAGATATATGTTTTCAGTTCTTAACATTCTGTATTAATACAAACTAGTAGAGAAAATGTAAAATGCTATCTTCTTGTTGGAGGCTTGGGGGGAGGAAGCCAAGGACCTTAAAACAGTAATTCTTACATTGTACATCCAGTAAGCAAGCTTAAGAAGGTAGGTTTGAAAGCAAAAAGTTTACTCTTGAAATATTGCAAGGCTTTTTATCATAAGAGTGGTTATATTGTGTTACTTAGGTAAAAATATGAAATCCTAACCAAAAAAATGAAAACGTAACTTGTAAATTAAGGACTTAGGTTTTTAACCATTGAGAGAGAAAATTTACCATATTAGGAATATAGACTTGGACCAGTAAGGTACTAGTATAGATTAGATAATGTAAGTGGAGAGCTCGTTTGTAGACAGGTACTTTTGAACGTTAACGTGAATCCCTCTGGAGATTTTTCTAAATCATTTAAGGTCACCATTGACTCAGAATGGATTGAGAAATTGAAATGATACTGTAGATGTGAAAGGACTTTGAGATATGTAAATTGCAAAATAAATAGATGTAGATAAATTTAAAATAAGTCTGTTTTGAAAAGTAGGTAGTTGCCACTGAAGTAACTAAAAAGTTTAAACTAAGCAACTTAAATTGAAGAAGGCATTAGATGATTCTAGTGAGGCATTTAGGCTTTAGTAATTTTTTATGGAAAAGGAAATTAGATGCTTAGAGTTTTCACCATCTGGGTGAATGGAATAGTATTTCAGTTAACCAGAACAGCCAAGTTGTTGCAGTTTAAGTGAGAGCTTATACCCTAAATGACTTTTAATGATCCTGAGTTTTCTGTTTATATGGATAGAACTCACTGTTTATATGGATAGAACTCATGTAATATGGGGGTATAGTATAGCAGTGTTCATCTGCAGATGAATAGTCTTATCACTTTGGACCTAACTTACATGAAGTTGGCAAATATAAAATAGGTGTCTGCTATTTTTTTCTAAACATTCTAATAAAGTTAACAAGCCATTGTGTTCAAAGTGGTGTTATTTCATTAAAAACAATGAAGTGAAAATTTGTTAGTTTTTTTGTTTTAAATATTCTTAAAACTGGCTAATTAAATTCTAGAAAAGCACAGGCTATTATTTTTACTAGAGCAGAAAATCAAGTTTATTAAAGAGGGGGTTTCAAAATTTTTTATAGATAATACTTTAAAATAGGCTTTTTTCTTGCTGATATAACTAACATTTATTTTCTGTTTATTTTTAAGACGAGCAAAAATCAAATTAAAGTAGATCTTGTAGATGAGAATTTTACAGAATTAAGAGGAGAAATAGCAGGACCTCCAGACACACCATATGAAGGCAAGTACTTTTTTCTGTATCAAAATATTGTGCGTATTAGAACTTATCTGAAACATTAAATCAGAATAATCTTAAGCATCTATAAACTACATGGAAGATAACTTCATTTGGCTTAGGATATTACAACATTTAAATAATAAATTTAGATATTTATATAGATGGATTTTTCTTACTGAATTTTAGCTGATTTTTTTTCTTTCCCCAATATAGATTTAGTGGAGCCAAGTTACAGTTATACAGGTTAGAATTTAGCAGTAGAAAACATCTAGCATGTTAAGCCTCAAATATATGGACTATATAGATGCTCAGTTACCCTTCATATGGTATCTATAACAAACCTTGCCTTAAATTTCTGATAAATTTTTTTTTTAAAGCTCCTCTCCCTTGTTTGTCATTTAGCATTTCATTCATTCATATGTCTTCACACAGGCTATATTCCAGATATTTAATTTTCTTTATTCAGGAAAGCTTTGAGTTATTGTTTTAAGACCGAGAAAAGAAAGGAGGCAACTTTGTTGAACTTTGTGTTCACAAACTAAGTTTGTAGCTACTTTAGACTAATTGGGTGGTAAGATATAGAAACAAGCTTTATAGCTTTTTATTTCCTCATTAGGCAAATCTTCAGTAATGAATATTATTGTAATTTTGGGTTATGTAGCATAACCAAGGTTCTTGCCTATAATAGGCATTCAAATATATGCTTAGTAGAAATCATAATAACAGAATTTGTGGTAATAGAGCTTTATATGCGTTTTCTCATTGAATCCTTAAATTTTATGAGGTAAGTAGTTATCACTGATTCATAGATGAAGAAATTTAAGATCAGAGAAATTAAGTGTCTTGTTTAAGGTCACACATCTAAGTGGCACAGCTGGAATTTGAGTCCTAATAGCCTTTGACTTCAAAGCCAATGTTTCCAATTACTCTGCTTCTGAATAAATGAGGATTGACTGAATATTGGAAATGGTGGTTATGTCTACTCTGAGGTGGTTCTATAATTCTATAATGAACAGATAAAAGTTATCAGAAAAACCCAACATTCTAGAATATCTTTGTTTTCATTTAAATTTTTAAAGATCCTAGAACGTCTTTAGCATATTCTACTAAATCTTAAATGATAAAATTGTATTTACTGTTTTATAGTTCATATGAACCATTTCTTGAAATCCTTTAGTATTATATTGTTTATTGAGTGCCTCCTATATGCCAGGCCTTGTCTGGATACTTTGATGGCTGCTGTTCACTTAGTCCTTTTGACAATTCATTAGATGGAAAAAAAGATCTTTTGTTATCTAATAAAAATCAAGTGCTTAGTAGTAGATAGTGTATGGAATGATACACTAACTTCTTAAAAGCAGGCATTATGAATATTCTTGAATCTTTTTTAGGTTGTTTAGATGTATTTTTAAAAGACAGTATGGCAGTAGCATTATCATTCTAGGACTCTTTCAGCAAACTGTATTTATAAACAAAGCACCTCCTGAACTAAAGCTAGGTAGGCAGAAATGTAGACAAATTTTTAAAAATTGGATAGTACTCATTTGAAAGATAATTGAGTTTTTTTTTGATAATTGAGTTATAAATGTACTGTATTCTTTATTAATTAGAAACAAGTTTGGTAATATTTAAGTGTTTATTTCTGCTGCTACCACTAAATAAGATATTAATGTTTGATAATACTAATTGTTTTTGTTTTGATAAGCCTAGTTTCAATATGCTTTTTGAGTATAAATCATACTCTTTTTATCATAAATAAAATGATTGTTGAGAAGTTCATTTTATTTAGGAAAAGCACTATTGAAGGGCATAAACTAAGGTACTTTTTTTTGAAACATGAACATGAGAAGTATTTGATATTTATTGCGGGTTCTTGCTAGTTTTTGAGAAATTTTTTGTTGTTTTTTTAAATCTCATAGCCAAGGCAAGTGTTTCCATGTGTAATGTTAAACTGTTTATAATTATTAACTAATGAGGAAACTATTTTATGTGTGTTACAAGTAATCAAATTGAAAAGTAGAACACCCATGTTAAAATTACCATATTGCACATACTATACTTAAATCTATTTTCTTCTTTTGCTATAATAGTGGCAAAGGAACAGTTTAGTTCTTGAACCTTTCTTCCTAACAGTTGTTTTGAATTTATGGAATAGATATTTTAAAAAATTCCATCCCTTCCCTATCTTCTTTTTAGATGAAGTTAAAGATTATTAATTTTTAATATTAAAAAGCTATTCTTTAAAAAGAAATGATTTATAGTGAAAACTTATGAGTAATGTAGTTATAAAGCTCTCTTAGTTGTGTTGCTCTGATGTGTATATATATATATATATCAAATAATGCTATGGTTAATGTTACAGTGGTTATATATTGAGAGTTGTCAGATAATAAGGCAAGATAGAGCATATTGATTGATGGTATTAATAGCATGTGGAGCAAAAATAGGATTGGGGGGACTCTAGGGTCCAACATTACTTAGATAGTATCTCTGGACTCTCACACTGCTAACAAGAAATTGTTTTGAGCATCCAAGAAGGAAGAACTTTATATGAAAGTTTATAGAGACAGTAATCTTAGAATTTATCAGAAAAAGTAAGATTCTTAGAAAGGAAAAAGAACCTATGTATTACTTAGGCCAAACTTCTATTTGAAGCTAGCAGTTATAACTCTAAACAAAAACAGGTGTATCCATATACACAAAATTTTCTCCGGTATTCTTTTACCTCTTCCTTCCTTCTTTCCTTTTCCTTTTCCTTTTCCTTTTCCTTTTCCTTTTCCTTTTCCTTTTCCTTTTCCTTTTCCTTTCCTTTCCTTTCCTTTTTTTCTTTTCCTACTTTCCTTTATTTTGATTTCACTATTGCTGTATGCTCTGATTTAGGCATCTAGTTCAACTCATGCATCAGTCATTGTGGGATACCATTAAAAAGAATTAGCAAGAAAATAAGAATTGGAACCAAAAAGGGCTTGAAAAAAGTGGTACCAAGTGAATTGTTCTTTTGTTTTTCTCCCAGGTCCACATTCATGTATTCCTAACAATGGAGGGAGGTGGATTTGAGAGAACCCAGGATATAGTGAGAGTTGAATTATGAAATTATGAAGTTAATGCTAATGCATACTTTTATTTTATTTTACTTTTATTATGGAAAGTGTTATATATAGAAGACAAATGGTATAATGAATCTTTGGTGTGCTCATCAATAGCTATCACCTTAAGGCCAGTCTTTGATCTCATCCATCCCTTTATTATTTTGAAGCAAATCCTAGGCATAGTTTCATATGTGTTTCAGTAGGACAGTTTTATTTGTTCCGTTTTGGAATAGTGTGTATTCTATGTTAATGAATCATAAAATCTTAGGATTGGAAGGTTCCTTGAAGTTAGAATTCAAATCCACCCTCTCATCCAATGGAAGACTTTCCCCTTCAGAGTTTCCCTGAGTGACAGTTATCTTCCCCTTGAATTACCCAGTTACGGGATGCTAGATAAACTTCTTTAAAAATATGTATTTGGCTGTTAGTTGCTCAAGATAACTTCAAAACAGAATGTTGCCTTCTCTTTACATATTATTGGCAAGAACAGCCTCTTTGTTTTTGTTTTTTAAGGATTTTATTTATTTATTCATGAGAGAGAGAGAGGCAGAGACACAGGCAGGGGAAGAAGCAGGTTCCATGCAGGGAACCTGATGCGGGACTCGATCCTGGGACTCCAGGATCACGCCCTGGGCCGAAGGCAGGCGCTAAACTGCTGAGCCACCCAGGGATCCCCAAAAACAACCTCTTTGTAAAGTGTTTCTTTTTGTATATCTGTTGAGAGGATGATAATAGGGTTTTTTGGTTTTGTTTTGTTTTGTTTTTATCTTTATGCCTACCTGGTATTGTTGAACTTTATTTTAAAAATTTTAACAAGTAGTGTTGGCCTTTAATTTTGGGCACAAGTTAAAAGTTTGGAGGCATTTTTGTATTTGAGAGAAATGAGCTAGAAGTAGATTTTTCCAGTTTATGACATAACCATATTACTTTTTTTCTGTACCATCTATGCCTTTATACTTTTTGTGTTCTTTATGTCTTTTTATTCTTTCTGTATTTTCTGTTACTTAGCGACTCTTCTCAGTGTGAATTAGAGGAAACAAGGAGATGGAACCTGTATTAATTGTCCCAGTGACGCATTGCATTGTCTTTGGATTTAATGTATTCATCTATCTCTAGCTCTGTTATTCACTGATAAACTAATATAGTTGTGTAAAATGGCTATATGTTTTAAATGACTTCTAAATGAAAAACTAGTGTTTTTATTATTTACTTTTTGAATTTCAACTTTTAAATGAATTTGTTGTAATTGAATATAAAATAGTACATGGTTTGAAAAGCTATTTCACTATGTTTGGCTTCACATATTTGGGGTGAGTAGCCTTCTTAACTTTCTGTTTTCCCCATTTTTTAGGAGGAAGATATCAGCTAGAGATAAAAATACCAGAAACATATCCATTTAATCCCCCTAAGGTATTGTAAGCCTATTTTTTGTGCATGAACTTCTAAAATTTTTTTTTCCCATTTGATTTATATTTTAGTGCTTATTAAGATTACAGCTTTTTGAATTGTTGTCTTATGAATTTAGTATGGACAAGATTTCAGGTAATGGCAGATGGTTTGCTTCTGGAATTAGAATGAAAAGCAAGCTTACTCAGAAGCATCTAGTAATGGCTATAGACAGGAATAGGATTTTCATCTGACAATGGCTTAAATTCTAGGTCTGGAAAAATTTGCAATGTTCCCAAATTTAGAGAATCCTTATACAAATTTCTTACTTGCCTCGAAAAAGTTTTTTTTTTTTTTGTTGTTGTTGTTGTTTTTTAGGGAAGAGTATATTCTGAATCCATTCAATAGTTATTTGAGTATTATGTGCCAATGTAGCAATAAATAAGACTTATACTGTCCTTTCATGGAGCTCACATTCTAGCAGGAAAAAAATTCATGAACAAATAATCGCAACAGAGAAATATTAAAAGAGGAAATGGAATGCCCTAGATCATGTATAACAAGAAGACCTAACCTAAACTTTCTCACTGAATAGCTTCCTTTATGTCTTTAATTTTGCTATTATCACTTTAGGCTAATTCAGCTTTATTATGTTCCTGTTTTGTCTATTAATTTAATCCATCTTTGCCATTCCTATTCATTCCTTGCAGTGCTGTTTTGTAAATATTCCTAAGGTGCAGTTTTGATGTTTTTCTTTCTTTGTTAATAAAGTCTAAACTCCTTAGCTGGGCATTTAAAACCTCCTACAGCCTGACCCAAGTTGTCTTTTCGATTCTAATTTTTTACCACCTCTACCCGAAACATAGATCTCATTTTCCAATCTAGACTATTTGCTGTTTGTAGACGTTGCTTACTATTTCATACTTTTCTCTCATTTTCATTGGAGTCATTATCTGTATCACTTAAAATTCTAGATTCTTTTTGAGTTCTAGGTAAAGTATCACCTTTCATGTTAAGCTGTATCCATTAAATTGTTCCTCTACTCTTTCACTAACATTTTATATAATTTATATACAATTGCCTTTGTGAACAATGCAGAGGTTAGGTGCACTGACTTCCCTGTGCCTTAGGAATCCACATATAACTTTTGACTCCCCAAAATCTTAACTACTAGTAGCCTATTGTCATCCAGAAACCTTACCAATAACAAAGTCAGTTAACATATATTTTGTATATATATTGTATACTTTATTTTTATAATAAAAGCTAGAGAAAAAATACTAAAATCATAAAGAGGAAATCCATTTATAGTACTATACTGTATCAAAAAAATCCATATATAAGTTGACCAATGCAGTTCAAACCCATACTGTTTGAGGGTCAACTATGGTACCAACTCAAGTACAATACCAATTAATGAGGTGAAGGATCATGTATTATACGTCTTTGCATTTTCTGTGGCTCCTTGAGTGTCCTTGAGCATCTGATAGCAGTGACTCAGAAAATGTTCTGGAATTCATTCAGTCTATTGGTTTTTTTCCCATTTAAGAATAGGCATAGTAATGGAAGTTCCAGGGTGCATTGGGATCATCTCTTAGTTGGAGTGTCTCTTATTCTGTATCTTATGTACATCTATTTTCTCATAGTACCCATTTGATTTTTTTAAATTGTTGTAAAATACACATAACATAAAATTTACCATTTTAACCATTTCTAAGTGTGTCATTCAGTGGTATTGAATATAGTCATATGCAATCATCAGCACTATCCACCTCCAGAACTTTTTCATCTTACCTAATTAAACAGTAACTTCCCCTACTCCATGCCCCAGCTCTGTAACCATTGTTCTACTTTTTCTGTATGAATTTGATTACATACCTCAATTAAGTGGAATCACACAATATTTGTCCTTTTGTATTTAGTTTATCCATATTACAGCATATATCTGAATTTCATTCTTTTTTAAGATTAAATTGTAGTCAGTGTTCATATATGCCATGTTATCCATCCAACCATCAAGGGGACGTTTTGGTTGTTTACCTTTTTAGCTGGTTGATTCTTTTTTTCCTATTATAAAAGTAGTTTGGGGGCGCATGGGTGGCTCAGTCAGTTAAGCATCCGACTATTGATTTTGGCTCATGTCATGATCTCAGGGTCGTGGGGATCAAGTCTCCATGTTGGGCTCCTCCATGCTGGGCATGGAGCCTGCTTAAGATTCTCTCCCTCCCCACAGGAGATAATAAAATTACTTGTGCAAAGGTGGAAAAAAAAAAGATTCTCTCCCTCTGTTCCTCTCTTCTCTTTCTAAAATAAATATACATTTGAGGGAAAAAATAGTTTGTGCTTTGATAGAAATTTGAGTTACGTAGTGAATTATAAAAAAAAGAGAACATTTTTTTCAACATGACATTTAGAGATGACCACTATTGATCTGTTATCTTGTATCTGTGACTTAATTTTTTTCCTCATCTTGGTTTCCCTCCACTAGATTCAGTCTAGGTTTCAGTGTTATCATTGGAATGAATACTCACTTGAGGATAGTTTAATTGTTTGAATACCATAAATTTAACAAAGGAAAAATTTAAATGATGGGACCCAGTGTGCACTACTTTTTTGATCCTGATAAGGAAGGAGTGAGGGAAACCCAGGTGGTGCAGTGGTTTAGCGCCTGCCTTTGGCCCGGGGCGCGATCCTGGAGACCCGGGATCGAATCCCATGTTGGGCTCCTGGTGCATGGAGCCTGCTTCTCCCTCTGCCTATGTCTCTGCCTCTCTCTCTCTCTTTGTGACTATCATAAATAAATACAAAAAATTAAAAAAAATAAAATATTTAAAAAAAAAAAGGAAGGAGTGAGGGCAAAATCTCTAAAACAGTGAATATGACTCCACTAAGAACAAGAGCAGTCCACCAAAGTTCAAATCTACTTCAGTCATTTAACTGGCTTTATGTATATATATTTTTAGTGATCTCTATACCCAATGTAGAACTCAAACTTTGTATCCCAAGATCAAGAGCTGCATGCTCCAACTGAGCCAGCCAACACCCTGGCTTTATAATTTTAGGCAAGCTGTATCACTGCTGTGTGCCCCAGTTGCCCTATCTATAAAATCCTCGTTTAGGATTATAAAGATTAAAGGAATTAATCCATGTACAAATTATTACAATAATTCTATGAAACTTTTTTCACGTATTTAATATTTCCAAAATCAAGATAACCTTTCAGTGATGACGTGTCATAATTTAATTTGCAGTTTTTTTTCTTAGGGTACATAAAGTAATGGTGTATTAATTCATGGTATCTGAGATTTAATGAAATAGTAAAACTTTTTTTTTCTTTAAATGATTTTATTTATTTATTCATGAGACTCAGAGAGGCAGAGGCATAGAGGGAGAAGCAGGCTCCCTGCAGGGAGACCCATACTTAATCCCGGGATTCCAGGATCACGACCTGAACCCAAGGCAGACGCTCAACCACTGAGCCACCCAGGTGTCCCTGAAATAGTAATACTTATAAATGCCTACATAGAGTAAGCATTATGTAAATATTAGCACTAACCAGTGACTACCACTCTAAAAGGTCCTTCCTTGAAGTAGTCTGTTGACTTCCTTCTGTGACATCATTTGAGAATACAGCATTGATACTTATATTTCCTGTATAAATTGAAATTCTCGTTCATTGCTGGTGAGAATGTAAAATGTTGGCGCTGTTTGGAACATAGTTTGATCAAAATGGTAAACATAGAAGTTTTTTTTTTTTAAGATTTTTTTTTTGTTTATTCATGAGAGACACAGGCAGAGAGAGAGAGAGAGGCAGAGACAGGCAGAGGGAGAAGCAGGCTCCATGCAGGGAGCCCAACGTGGGACTCGATCCCAGGTCTCCAGGATCATGCCCTGGACTGAAGGCGACGCTAAACCACTGAGCCACCCAGGCTGCCCCAACATATAGTTACTTTTTGACCTATCAATTCTACTTCTCGGTTATCTACCTAGTAGAAATGAAAACATGTCCACACAACAACTTGGTACACAAATGTTTATACCGGAAGTATTCATAATGGCCAAAAAGTGGAAATGACATAAATCTCCATCAACTGAATGGATAAAGTGTGGTAGATATATACCATGGAATATTATTTGGTTATAAAAACAAATGAAGTACTGATAATGTGGTATAAGATAGGTGAGCCTTGCAAACATCATGCCAGACACAAAAGGCCACATATTATAAGATTTCATTTATATGAAACATTGGAAGAAGCAAATCCAGAGAGTCAAAAATTAGGTCAGTGGTTGCTTCACACTGGGGCTCTGTGAAGGAATGGGGAGTTACTGCTGATGGTTACACAGTTTGCTCTGTGAATATACTGAAAACCATCATGGAGTTGTGCACTTTAAATGGATGAATTATCTCTCAGTGAAAGTGTTTAAACATTTCCCTTTGTAATCTTATATAGCTCCAAAGTGATTACATAGCCCTGGCTCTTTTTCAAGACTTGATGTTTTATTTAATCATTGAAATCAGTTTTTTTTCATTTGTTTTTTAAAAGGTGTTATTTATTTATTTATGAGCGACAGAGGCAGAGACACAGGCCGAGTGAGAAGCAGGCTCCCTGCGGGGAGCCTGGTGTGGGACTCAATCCCTTGTAATATAAAAATAGAACTGTTGCTCTTCAGGCCACTACTATCCTAATTCCAGACATTCCATATTGAGGTTAGCTTCAAGATTTAGAAAAGTCTTCCTTTAATCATTCTAATGTGTCTCCCTCTGCCTTCAACTAATTAACCTTAGTTATAATTTAGTATTCTTTTAAATATGATATTCATCCCATTTATGGCATTAAGCTTTTGCAGTAAATGTTAATGAACATAATATAAATATATTCTTGATATGTATTACATTGATACGAATTTTTACTGATTAGTAAATATAATGGAAAAAGTGGGGAGTATTTGTAAATTTCTTGTGAAGACATTGTGTTCATATATGTTTAGTATGTAGGCTCAGGTTTAATTTTAAGCTTCATGAGATAAAAGTATTGAAGGTAGTTGATTATATTCTCTTACTTCTGTGCAACTAAAATTGTACAAGATTGATTGAAACTTACATTGATAACAGTGGTCACAGAGTATTTCCTGTTTATTATTCTGTAGTATATTATTAACCTGAAGAGCAGAATGTTTGCTTCTAGACAGAGAAGATATATCTTTGAGTCAGCTGAATATAGTGTAGAAGGAATTTAATCAATGCATACAACCAGTTTTATTTCTAAGGTGAATTATAATAAACTATTACTGAAAAACTCATTAAAATAGGAAAACTGTAGCTCTATGATTTGTCCAGTATGTATTAAAGGTTAGGTTATGAATTTTCCTGTTTTTTTTTCTTGATATTATAAACGTAGTTGTATATGTCAAATTTTTTTTTTTAAGATTTTATTTATTTATGAAAGACACAGAAACAGAGACATAGGCAGAGGGAGAAGCAGGCTTCCTGAGGGGAGTCTGATGTGGGACTGACTCAGTCCCGGATCTCAGGATCACGCCCTGGGCCAAAGGTAGTGACTCAACCACTGACCCACCCAGGCGTCCCTATATGTGAAATTGAGTATAAATACCATTTTTTAAAGATTTTTTAAAAAAGGTTTTATTTATTCATGAGAGACAGAGTAGGGCAGAAACACAGGCAGAGGGCTCCCAGGGAGCCCAACGTGGGACTCGATCCTGGATCCCGGGGTCACGCCCTGAGCCAAAGGCAGCCGCTCAACCACTGAGCCACCCCAGGCATCCCTAAATACCATTGCTAATAACTTTTAATGCATCTGCCCATCTGTATACACATATTTAAAATAGCAGTTTTTTTTGTACAATAAGTTTAGTTAAGGCTGGTTTAATATCATAACATCCTTGAGTTCCAAGGTTGAAACCGGAAATTCATGTGGGAGTGTGAGCTCGCGTTACCGTGAAATAGTTCCTGAAATGTTTGAACTAAATAGTGAATGAATAGGATACTGTCCTCCAGGAGGAGATAAGATTAGTGATGACCTCAGTATTGGTGTGCCAGTATAGATAATAATAGTCTCTTTCCTTCATTTTGGTCTGGTAACACTATGTTCATGGTGTTAAGATTTATTTCTATTCCCTGAGAGCCCCTCAAAAGTAATGAGGTGTTCTGAAGTTACCCAGATGGCACCATTAGTTTCATTTGTGAAAATAAGGAAGCTTGAATTATAATTAGTAAGTCGTCTTAATACTATATTTTGTACCTGTTTTTTAATCAGTGTCAACTATGACTGAAGTAGGTTATAATGTCATTGAATTCTTACTTACTCTTATGTTTCACCCCTTCCAAGTTTTTTTTTATTCTACATTTTTTGTTGATATACAACAGAGGTGTTAGCACTATGAGAGAAAGTGACAAATACAGTAGATATTAATTGGGTTTGGAATAATAGGACAAAATTCTGGGACACATGTGGATACCACTAGTGATATTAAGGCTTGAGAAAGAGAAATACATGAAAAATCTAAGAAATGAGGTAGTTGATACAGAATAACAAAAGAGGAATGGGAGATAAAAGAGTGGTTGATCACAGAAAAAACTAAGATAATTATATCTTATATCCATACTAGTGGATAATGGAGTGTCCTCTTGAAAATTTTTTTATTACATCATTTGCAAGTTCAAAGGTGTCTATTCCTAAAACTATAGATTTGTACAAAGTAACAAAGTAGTTTAAAAATTTTCTTGATCCTGCATATGTGCATATTTGTTTTCATATAGATCCTATAGAGATCATGTATTAAAGACTCTTTAAAAATCAAGACATCTAAAAAAAAAATCAAGACATCTTGGATCACTTGCATATCCCATAAACCTTCTAACGACTTAAGTAGTAATTTAAAATTCTTGGGGCCCCTAGCTGGCTCAGTCAGTGTAACATGTGCCTGTTTATCTCGGGGTTGTGAGTTTGAACCCCATGTTGAGTGTAGAAGTTACTTAAAAAAACTTTTCAAAAAATGAAATAAAATTCTTTTTCCAATGTTGAAAAGATTAAACCAATTTTCATTTTTTTTTAAGATTTTATTTATTTATTCATGAAAAGAGAGGCAGAGACATAGGCAGAGAGAGAAGCAGGCTCCCTGCAAGGGCATCATGCCCTGAGCCAAAGGCAGATGCTCAACCACTGAGCCTCCCAGGCATCCCCGATTTTCATTTTAAACTCACAAAATGCTGTAGTGTCCTTGAGTTACTGAGATTATGTCCTTGAGATTATGGCATTTGGTTATTTTATATCTTTATGCTTTAAACTCAATGAATGGTAGAAATTAAGATATGGATATTGTGGTTATATCTGTTATGAAGAGATGTTTGTTGTACATATGCCGTTTTTGCCTTTTTTCGATCTGCTCTATATTTGAGAGGCATGCTGGTTAGCTGTGTAATAGGTTTGTTATAATGTTGATAGCATATTCATTGAGTGTGAGACACTTTAGATACTTGGGATGCTCTAGTAAGCAGGATATATACTCAGCCTTTTAGGGAAGGCCAGACATAAAAGGTAGAGATCATAGAAGTGTTACCAATATGATGACATAGGAAAATACAGGGTGCTATGAGAACAGATAGGAAGAAGTGATATGGAAACTAAAAATTGAAGGATTAAATAGGAGTTAACCCGAGGAGGGCATCAAGATGTGTTATTGAGAGAAGAAACAGATATAAAAGACCCAAGGCAAAAAAAAAAAAAAGTTTTTTTTTTTTTTAAGATGATTTGAGATATAGGCTAGGGGTTAGTTTAAGGGTGCAGGCTTACGTAAAGGGAATGAGCAGTCATTCAGGGGCCTTAAGTAGGGTAATGAGTCAGTTATACTTTATCCTCTTGGTTTCAATGTCGAAAATGGATTGAAGGAAGCAGAACTGAAGGTATTAAAGTCTGTAAACTGTTCAGTAACCCAAGTATACAGTGATGGTCTTGTTTAATGAGTTGGTGATTCTGTGGATGAAGTAGATATCTTTGAAAGCAGTAAAATTATTCTAAGAATTAAAAAGGATCAAGGAATGAAAAAATCCCATCAATTTTAGGTGTTTTGAAGTAATTGGTAACTTGAAATGGTTTTTTAGCATATAAGTTAGTAATTAGGTAGGGAAGTAGTAACAGGTAGTATAGACAAATCGAGTCACAAGGAGTGAAAGCCATCTGCTTAGCTTCTTTTCATAAATGTCTTAGATTTGGAGCACATATTGACGAGTTAATTTTTGTAGAGTACTTACTTGACTTGGGGCACCTGGGTGGCTTAATTGGTTAATAAGCATCTGACTTTCAGGTCTTAATCTCAGTATGGTGAGGTCAGGCCCTAATTGGGCTTCACTCTGGGCATGGAGCCTACTTTAAAAAAAAAGCGGGGGGGGGGACATTGCTTGACTTATAGTAATTAATCTATTATTTGTAAAGGAGTTTTGACTCAAATGACTATTATATGTGTCAGATATAAAAATAATAATAATAGGTTCCCCCCAAAATAATAATTGTAATTGGTCCTTCAAACGCTCATAAGTAAGAACTGATGGACTCGATCAATTTCATTTCAAGGTGATCTGTTAGAGTTAGCATTTTCACTTTGTTGGCTTCTTATTCATCCATGCTAAGACAAATAGGTGATTAGAGACTTAGAATCTGAAATGATATTGTGTAAGTTTGCATGTTATTCTATTGCTAACTAGCTATTTGATTTTGGATAAATTTCTTAGACTCAAAGCCTCAGTCTCTCCTCAGTGCCAGTGCCTTTCAAATAAATTGTAAACACCTGGAATTGTTGGGTTTCTTTAGAGGTGGAGCATTTATTAAAAGGTTTAAAAAGAATTTTTGTCATTGACAACATTCAGTTTACTGAATGCTTTGTCTTCCACGCCCCTCCCTTCAGCTAGGCAAAATGATGGTAATGTAAGTATGGACTTTTTTTTAATCTGAGGTTTTCATTTTCTTGTAGTTATACTTGAACTATATGTGTTTTTGTTACTTAAAAACTCAAGTGTGTTTTATATTCTAGGTCCGGTTTATCACTAAAATATGGCATCCTAATATTAATCTGAGGTTTTCATTTTCTTGTAGTTATACTTGAACTTATATGTGTTTTATTTCTGTTACTTAAAAACTCAAGTGTGCTTTATATTCTAGGTCCGGTTTATCACTAAAATATGGCATCCTAATATTAGTTCCGTCACAGGGGCTATTTGTTTGGATATCCTGAAAGATCAATGGTAAGAGATTTTGAATTCACCTTCTTCCCTCTCAATCAGTTCCAAGGCTATATTTAGAATGTTACACATGTAATTGCCTCAGAACATAAGCATATATTATACTTTCTCTTATTTGGGCTGTGATTTTAAAACTTTATGACATCTCTTAAGTGCATATTCAAAAATGTGTTGGGATGTGTGGGTGCCGCAGTTGGTTAAGCGTCTGACTCTTGGTTTCAACTCAGGTCACAATCTCAGAGTCATAGCCCCAGCCCCACTTTGAGTCCCAAGATAAGCTCAGAGTCTGCTTGAGATTCTCTCTACCTCTTCCTTTACCCCTGCCATCACCTCTGCATGCGCACTTGGACTCACGATCTCTCTCAATAAATAATCTTTTTTTTTTTTTTTTGAAGTGTGTTAGAATTGAGATCACAGTGATTTTACATAGTGACTTATTAGGTAATGTCAGATGCTAGCTTTATATTTTGAAAAGTCTTGATTTCATTTATTGTAAATTTGGTTCTTTGCGATCTCTGGAAGATACTTGTGAAAGATTAAAAAAATTAAGTATTGAAGTAATCAGCTCTGATTTGGATGGAATATAGGCAACAAAAATGTTAAAAGTTATGTTAAGTGAGCTTAGTCAAGGTTCTCAAATTCAAAGAAATGAGTACCTGTCTTTGTAAGTGATATCTTTATTTGCATAGCACTTTATGGTGCTTTCAACATGTTTTGTCTGATTTGCTGTTAGTAGCAGAGTGTTTAGGAGTTCCTACCCTGGAGCCATTAAGTTCAAATCCTCACTCTGCTATTAATTCAGCTGTGGTCTTGAGCAAATTACCTAGACTTTGTGCCTTAGTGTCCTCATCTCACAAGATGGGGTTAAAACCTACTTCATAGGATATTAAAAGGATTAAGTGAATTGTTTTATGTAATTTTCTTAGAGTAGAGCCTGGCATATTCTAACAGTATGACTATAAAAAACTAAGACAAGAAGTATATAAAAGGACATCAGAATGGGCAAAAACACTAATAAGCTATGTGTTTGATTTGTTAAGAAAGGGAAAGAATGGAACCTGAACAAAGTGAAACAGGAATGACATATAATGTTTGTGTGATTTGGTTTATTTAGTCTGGATAAACAGACAAGAACTCTTGGTATGGTTTTGCTTTTCCATTCTAATAGAATATCTGAGTAAAGCCTCCTCCCTCGGATCGTCTCTTGGGGTCTGATTTCGTGATCTGTAGTCCATACCCTTAAACATTGAATAGTGTGGAATAGACCTTGTTTTATTCTGTCACTCTTTTATGTATTTTAAAATCTGTACAGTAGCTATACTGAATAATTTTAAAAATTTTATTTAAATTCAGTTCATTAACATATAATGTATTACTGGTTTCAGAGGTATAGAGGTCAGTGATTCATCAGCCTTATATAATGCCCAATGTTCATTACATCACATGCCCTCCTTAGTGTCCATCATCCAGTTACCCCATCCCTCCATCTTCCTCCTCTCCATCGACTGTCAGTTTGTTTCCTTTGATTGAGAGTCTCTTATGATTTGTCTCCCTCTCTGATTTCATCTTTTATTTTTTCCTTTCTTCCGCTATGATTCTGTTTTGTTTCTTGAATTCCACATCTGAGTGAGATCATGTAATTGTCTTTCTCTGACTTATTTTGCTTTGCATAATATACTCCAGTTTCATCCATGTCATGGTAAATGAAAGATTTCATTTTTTTAAATTGATGGCTGAATAGTAGTATACACACACACACCACATCTTCTTTACTCATCTGTTGATGGACATGATGGCTGTTGTGGAAATTGCTGCTATGTGCACGTGCCCCTTCAGATCACTACATTTGTATCTTTTGGTAAATATCCAGTAGTGCAATTGCTCGGTCGTAGGGTAGCTCTATTTTCCATTTTTTGAGGAACCTCCATACTTTTTTTCCAGAGTGGCTGCATCATTTGCATTCCCACCAACAGTGTAAGAAGGTTCCCCTTTCTTCACATCCTCACCAACATCTGTCTTTTATTTACTTATTAATTTTAGCCATTCTGGTCAGCGTGAGGTGGTATCTCATTGTGGTTTTGATTTGTATTTCCCTGATGCCGAGTGATGTTGAGTATTTTTTCATCTGTCTGTTGGCCATTTGTATGTCTTTTTAGGAGAAATGTCTTTTCATGTTTTCTGCCCATTTCTTGATTAGATTCTGTCATTCTTTTATTTTGTGACTTTTCACATTTTGTAGGCCTCAGTGTTTTTATCCATAAAGTTATCTCAGAGTCCTCTTATAGTAGATTGGTCATTCAGTGATACTAATGAATTTTTGCAGACATTGTACTTCTTTCACTTGGTTTCTGGGACATTAGTTCTTCTATTCTCCCCTTTCTGTGCCTATTCCTGGACTCCTTAACTATTTCCTCCCTCGTTTCTAGGAGCTTTGCAAATGAGAATACCTTGGGCCTCTCTTTACTTCTGCTGCTTTTCATCTGTACTCACTTCCTTGATATGCTCATCTGATTTTAAATACCAGCAACTTATAAATTTATCTTTCTTGAACTCCAGACTCATATTCTCATGTCTGCTTAACATCTCTACTTCAATATGTGTGTAGTAGACATCTCAAACATGTTGAAAACTGAATTGATGTTCCCCCAACCCAAAACCTGTATCACTTCATCTAAGTTACTGGCAGCTACATTCTTGCATTTGTTCTGGTCAAAACCTCATCATGATCCTTGGTTCTTATTTCTCTGGTACCCTGTACTCTGTTTATAAATCTGTTGGTAAAACCTCCAAAATTTTATTAGCAGTTTCACTATTACTACCTGGCCCGAGTCACATTACCTCTTTCCTGGATGATTACTGTAGCCTGCCTCTCTGCTTCTGATTTTACCCTCCTCAGCAGTTCTCGGCAGCCAGAATGATACTTATCTCTCTGCTCCTCCTGACATCCCCTTTTAAAAACAAATAAAGCTCCAGACTAAAATTTTCCACTGACTTCCCTTTTTGTTCAGAATTAAGCCAGCAATAACCGCACTTCTGATTATCTCCCTATAGACAGTTGAAAGATTATGGTATATTATGTAGAAAGAGAACTTGGCACTTTTGTACTGAAACACTTTTTGTCAACTGTCCCATTTCCTTAGGCTGGTGTGAAATAGCTGAATTTAGTCTCATTTCATATTTATATAATTGTAATATTTAAAAATGTCAAAGACACATTGGATTAAAATAGGTGAGATTAGGTATACATGGATATCTAATACCCTAAGCTGCCTCCCACCAGATTTATTGAGGTATAATTGGCAGTGGTTATTCATGTTTATTTAGCTTCAGAGCTGGAATTTGGTAAAGAAAACTACAGGATAATAATATTCAGAAAAATAAGGGATGCCTGGATGGCTCAGTCGTTGAGCGGTTGAGCGTCTGCCTTTGGCTCAGGGCGTGATCGTGGGATCCTGGAATCAGGTCCCACATCGGGCTCCCCACGGGGAATCCACTTCTATCTCTCCTGAATAAATAAATAGAATATTTTAAAAAAAGAAAATAAATTGAATAAACATTGAGTAATTTCTAGGTGTACTAGAAAAAATTTGTCTTGGTCTTTTGTTAATACATGTAGATGGTGAGTTACCTTTAATGTTTAACAACTCTATGTTAGTATGGTTTATTTTTTTAACTCCACAATGTGTCCTAGGTAGAAACTATTTTCTGATGTTTTTCCACTGACAACCTATTAGGTAGGACTATAGGTGTCTATTTACCTGGGGAAATAGAAGAAAACGACTACACATAAAAATTGTACTTAAATGTGGGCAGCCGGAGTGGCTCAGTGGTTTAGCGCCACCTTCAGCCCAGGACGTGATCCTGGAGACCCGGGATCGAGTCCCATGTCGGGCTCTCTACATGGAGCTTACTTCTACCTCTGCCTATATCTGCCTCTCCTCTCTGTGTCTCTCATGAATAAATAAATAAAATCTTTAAAAAAAATTTGTACTTAAGTGATATTGTCCTTCTAAAAGACATGAACAGGCATTAAGAGAATACCTAGATGGTTGATAAGCAGTGCTTAGCATTATTAGTCATCAGGGAGATGCAAATTAAAATTACAATTAGATACTACTACACACTTATAAATAGTTCTCGTGGTCTGATGGTAGGAATGTGGTTCAACCACTCAACCTGCAGTATCCACCAAAGCTAAATATGTACCTTTGATATGGCCTAGCAATTCCACTTCTAGGTCTCTATGCAAGAGAGATGAATGCATTTGTCCACTAAAAGACTTGTACAAGAGTATTTATAGCACATTTAATCAATAACCCAAATGTCCATCAATAAGAAAATGGATACTAATGGAATAATTATACAATGAAATGCTACACAGCAGTTAAAAAAAAAGCATATTAACATGAACAACATGGATAATTCTCACAGACATGCTGAGTGACCAAAGCCAGACACAAAGAAGCATATATTGTATGATTCTGTTAACAAATTCAAAATAAACCAAAACTAATTTATGATGATTGAAAGCCCTACTGAGTCTGTGTGCATAAATATTTAATTAGTCCTCTTAACTGTTTATTGAGATCTGAGCAAAATTAATTTACTGAAGATAGGTTTGCAAGGTACATCATCCACTGACTATTAAAATTAGCTAAAAAAATAAAAATAAAATAAAATAAAATAAAATAAAATTAGCTGACACATTTTGAAATTTTACATTCTTATTTGCCTGTTAGGAATTGTTTTTTCCACACAATCCTAAAAATCTCAGTGTATTATTAATTTAGTCAGTACTATGTAAAAAGAACAGTAAATGTAATGAAAGATTGTATTTTCACTTGTATACTTTTTCACATTACTAAATTTAGATTTAAAAATTAATGTAGAGCAGTCAAAAAATACGCACATTTCTTTACACTATCAAATATGCTATATTTTCTACAGTATTTAAAGCCAGAAGACTAGGTTTTGGTTTGATAATAATTTAATTACAACTGGTTATTAATTTCTTGTCCAGCTTTTTAAAACTTTGCATTTAGGGTATTTTTTCCCTCTAGCATCTAGTATTTATTTATTTATTCATTTTACCTGCACCTACTCTTAAATATTGTGTGTGTGTGTGTGTGTGTGTGTTTTAAGGGAGGGGTGAAGAAGGAGAGGGAGAGGGGAGAGAATTCTATGCAGACTCCACACCCAGTGCAGAACCCAACATGGGGCTTGATCTCACAACCCTGAGATCATGACTTGAGCCAAAATCAAGAGTCCTACACTTAACCAGCTGAGTCCATTTTTTGTTTTTATTGAAGTGTAGTTGACATACAATATTAGTTTCAGGTTTCATTTAGGTATCTTTTAGCCAACTAATTTTTTTAAGATTTTATTTATTTATTCATGAGGGACACAGAAGCAGAGACACAGAGGGAAAAGCAGGCGCCATGCTGAGCCACCCAGGGATCCCACCAACTAATTCTTAATAGCTGATAAATACCTCCCCTAATATTTCATTATTAAAAATTTTAAGCATACAAAAAAACCATAACTTTTTCTCATTGAGATTGTTATGAATCAAATCTAAGATTTTTTTTTCTTCCATATTGAGAGCAAAGTGTCCCTTTCAGCATTCATCTTTAGGTCCTTAGTTTCTGATTTTTTGAAGTTGTAAGTCCAGGGGTTTATAATAGTTTGTGTATTCCAAATTAAGATACTATAAATAAAAGAAGTAGAAAGTATTATAATAAGAATTTACAAATCCGTAAGGGAAGAGCTTCTCACTTTAAAAAAAGTTTTTTATATTGTAAAATACATATGACACAATTTATCATCTTAGTTTTTTTAATTGACATATATAACATAAAATCTTAACTGTTTCAAGTAAGTGGTAAGTGTACAGATGAGTATTATTAAGTATATTCATAGTGTCGTGCTACCAGTCTCTAGGACTTAATTTTTTTTAAAGCAGTACTAGGTTCACAGCAAAATTGAGAAGAAGGTATAGAAATTTCCCATATACATATGCATAGCCTCCTCCATTATCAACATCTTCTATCAGAATGGTAAATTAGTTGCAGCTGATGAATCTGCATTGACATCTCTCAGTCACCCAAGTCCTTTTGTCTGTATTATGATTCACTCTTGGTATTGTCTATTCTGTGCATTTGAACAAGTGTATGATGACATGTATCCATCATTGTGTACAGTGTATTTTCAGCACTCTAAAAATGTGCTCTGTGCTCTCTTCATCCTTCTACCCTACTCCCTTCCACCTTTTCATCTTTTGAACCTGAATCTATACCTTTTAAATAATAACTTCCCATTTCTCTCACCCTCCAACCTATGACAACCACCATTCTACTTTCTGTCTCTCTGAATTTGACTTTTCTCGGTACTTCGTGAATCATAGTGGCTTCACTTAACATAATGTCATCAGGCTTCATTCACATTGCAGCATGTGTCTGATTTGTCTTCCTTTTTTAAGGCTGAATAATATTCCATTGTGTGTATGTATATACCACATTTTGTTCATGGGTTGATGGAAATTAGTTACTTCTACCTTCTGGCTATTGTGAATAATGCTTGTTATGAACATGGGTGTACAAATATCTGAGTCCCTGCTTTCAGTTATTTTGGATATGTACCTAGAAGTGGAATTGTTAGATCATGTAGTAATTCTATGTTTATTTTTTTTGAAGAATTGCTATACTGTTTTCTGTAATTGTTCCATGCATAAGGACTCCAATGAGTCCACATCTTCACCATCAGCTATTATTTTTGTTTTCTTAACATCCTAACAGATGTGAGGTAGTATTTCATTATTTGATTTGTTTCCCTAAGGGTTAGTGATACTAAGCATCTTTTCATGCACTTATCAGGTAATTTCTATATCTTCTCTGGAGAAATGTTTGTGGTCCTTTCTTATTTTTTAATTGGGTTTTGTTGTTGAGTGATAGGAGTTATATATTTCAGAGATTAACCCTTTATCAGATACATGATTGGCATATATTTTCTCACATTCTCTGGCGTGCTTTTCATTTTATCCTTTGCATAGGAGGTTTTTCTCTCTACATAGTTAATTTTGCTATTAGACCAATTTCCCTGTTTTTTCTTTTGTTGCCTGTGCTTTTGATGTCCTATCCAAGAACTCATTGTCAACTCCAGTGTCATGAAGCCTTCCCCTATGTTTTATTTTAAGAGTTGGATAATTTGGGACAGCCCAGGTGGCTTAGCGGTTTAGCGCCGTCTTTAGCCCAGGACATGATCCTGAAGACCCGGGATCGAGTTTCATGTCGGGCTCCCTGCAGTGGAGCCTGCTTCTCCCTCTGCCTGTGTCTGCTTCTCTCTCTCTCTCTCTTCTTTTTCTCTCTCTTCTCTTTCATGAATAAATAAAATCTTTAAAAAAGAGAGAGTTGTATAATTTTAGCTTTTGCACTTGGGTCTTTGATCCATTTTCACTTAATTTTTATGTATGTGTAAAAGGATCCAAATTCATGTTTTTGAGGGCTCAAGTTTTAAAAATATTTTGACTTATTGAGATATATAAGCTATGTGTGTATTAGGTTTTGCTCAGATTTGTGAGATTGAAATAGCTTTTATTTTATGTTTTCTTATTTTTATTGCAACTTAAAATTATTGTGAGTTTATTTTTTTTTAAAGAGTTTATTTACTCATCTGACTGAGTATGCATGAGTGAGGGGAGGGACAGAGGGAGAAGCAGACCTCCCACTGATCAGGGAGCCAGATGTGGGGCTCCATTCCAGATCCCAGGATCATGACTTGAGCCAAAAGCAGATGCTTAACAGAAGGAGCCACCCAGGTGCCCCAAATTATTGTTAGTTTAATAATTGTTTTAGTATGAAATACTTCCTTGAAGGGTGCCTGGGTGTCTTGGTTTAAGTGTCTGCCTGCTCCTCCCTCTCCCTCCACCTGCCACTCCCCCTGCTTTTGTGTGTGCCTGTGCACACTCTGTCAAATAAAATCTTAAAAAAAAAAAAAAACCTTCCTTGAATGAAGATTTTTCTTTAGTATTCAGATAAATTTCCTTGAAAGAAATAATTGTATTAATTAAAAATTATATAACTTAAGATTTTATTTATTTGAGAGAGAGGAGGGGGGTGCGCGTGAGCAGGGGAGAGGGGTAGAGGGAGAGAAGCAGATTCCCATTGACCAGGGAGCCCCAGGGTTCTGAGATTGAGCCCTGCATTGGCCTCTGTACTCAGGGGAGTCTGCTTCTTCTCCCTCTGCCCCCTTCATTTTTCCCCCTGACTCATGCTCTTTCTCTTTTAAATAAATATATAAAATCTTTAAAAAAAATTCTGTTCTCTTTTATGCTAGTTTAGCATTTCAGCTAATTTTTGTGTTCTGACCAATTTTTCCTATTCTTGTAAGCCTTTCTAAAAGGGTAGATTGATCAATAAAAAATTTTACTCTGATTGCATTTTAGATGGTTCATTTGTAAGTAATTTTTAATTAATATATGATACAGATCTACAGTTGTGTACTGATTTTATTGTTTTAAAACAGCCTTTCCTTTCTTTTCTTTTCTTTCTTTCTTTTCTTTTCTTTTCTTTTCTTTTCTTTCTCTTTCTTCTCTTCTCTTCTCTTCTCTTCTCTTCTCTCTTTCTTTTCTCTTTTCTTTTTTTAAGATTTATTTATTTTAGAGAGGGAGGGAAAGAGTCTTAAGCAGACTTTGCATTGAGAGAGCCTGACATGGATCTGTGTCACAACCTTGAGATCACTACCTGAGCTAAAACCAAGAGTTGAACACTTAACTGACTGGGCCACCCACATGCCCCTAGAACAGCCTTTCTTAATTAGCTCAAACTGTAATCCGTTAAAGCAGTATTTCTGAGATATTAGGTTGCATAAGAATCACTTGGAGTGCTTGTTATAAATCACCCTAGAGTTTCTGGTTCAGTAGGTCTGGGATGAGACTGAAGATTTTCATTTCTTAAAGTTCCCCAGGTGATGTTGATACTACTGGTTGGTGAAACTACACTTTATGAGATACAGTGCCTTAAGGCGTCCATTGTTGGTAAAAAAATTAACTTTTATTGTAATCATCTAGGATGGTGACGTCCTGGAAAATTGAGAAAAAAGTGACTCAGTAATTTTCTCTGTTCCATGGTTATAATGAAGAATCCATTTGAAAAAGATTTAGAATGATCTAATTTGTATGGTTAAAATGGGTATATTGGGGGGTGCCTGGCTAGCTCAGTCAGTAGAGCACGTGACTCTTGAACTCGGGGTTTTGAGTTTGAGCCCCACGTTGGGTGTAGAAATTACTTAATAAAATGGGCTTATTATTTAATACTCTTCAGCATTTTATGTATTTCATTGTTGTGTTTGTATTTATAAATATTTCTGTATTGATCAAAGAGTTCCTTAACAGAAATGCTAAGAATCCTTGCTCTTTGTAGATAACATTTTTTAGATAAATATTTGCTTTATATAGGTGCGTAACTTAACTGATATATTTAAAGCAAATAACTTGCTCTAGTTCAGAATGTTATGAAATGATTTCAGGTTTTCTTGAAAATAAGGAATATTTGCTTGATGGTATCTTATGTGTTTTTGGAGTGGCATTGAAAGAAAGTTACATGTACTAGTTTACCACTTTATGTCTAGAGAAATGGATGGAAAGTCAAGTCAGTGAGTAAAGCTGACCAAAAGGATATTGGCAACAATAAGAAAAGTAAGTCCGGTTCAGTCAGGATAGTTTGAATTGCTCTTAGAAATAGAAAGACTCATTCGTTCATTATAAAGTCAAGGAGAAAAAAATATGATAGGCAGATATATAAATTTCATATAACTTAGTTATATGATTAAGATAAAAATCTAGATTATTTTTAGCTCCAGTAGTTTTTATATTCAGAAAATCACTTAACTTTTGTCACGCTGCATGTTCTTAACTGAGATATTTTCTTGTTTTGTTTTTCAGGGCTGCAGCAATGACTCTCCGCACGGTATTATTGTCCTTGCAAGCCCTTTTGGCAGCTGCAGAACCGGATGATCCACAAGATGCAGTAGTAGCAAATCAGGTAAGACTTGCCTGTACTTACCTATGCTTTTCTACTACTGTAGTGATTGCAGTGTTAACACATGAGCATAGTTCTATTTAGAAAGACTAAATTTGGAAATGGTTTTCTTTCTCATGGTAAGATTATTTTGTCAGATGTAATAGCGAAAACCTACTGATTTTTAATACACTAATTGAGTATATGATGCTTTTTAAAAAACTATTAATGGAAATTTTCAAGCACAATGTCAAAAGATTTATATAGTGAACACGCATATTCCTACCTGCATCTGGATTCTGTGATTAGCATTTTACTATACGTGCTTTATCATGTGCGTATGTATCTATCCATCCCTCCATTTAGTGATAATCCTTCCCTGGTAATTTTAACCAGCTCTTGCTGTGACTGAAGTGGCATAGTGTAAAAGTTACCAAGGATCTTAAAATTGCCAGATGGAATAAATATTTTTTAGTTTTGATCTTTCAGTTGATGTGATCTCCAAGGCAGAGGTCCACAAATTACACCTAGAGTTACTGTTTTTGTAAATAATGTTTTATTGGAATACAACCACATCCATTTGTTTAACTTATCTGGTCCTGTGAGAAACCCTGTTCTACGCCATTAGGATTTACTGAGCTTTTTTTTTTTTTTTTTTTTTTTTAATTTTTATTTATTTATGATAGTCACACAGAGAGAGAGAGAGAGAGGCAGAGACACAGGCAGAGGGAGAAGCAGGCTCCACGCACCAGGAGCCCGATGTGGGATTCGATCCCGGGTCTCCAGGATCGCGCCCCGGGCCAAAGGCAGGCGCCAAACCGCTGCGCCACCCAGGGATCCCTACTGAGCTTTTTTTTGTCCCCCACCTGGAATTCTTTTCTTCTCTTAACTTCTAACATATTACTCTCTTCTCATCTTGGTAGTTGTAGTTGTTCCTTCTTAGTTCCTACAATTATTTCTTTTCTTCCTCCTAAAAAGAGTTCCTTGGTTTAGACATCATTCCTTTTACTTTTACTGTTGTATATGGTCACATGGATGATCATATCTACACTGATACTATCACCTGTAAGTTGAGAAAATGTTTAGGCATTACCTCTCCTTGAGTGCAAGAGCCTGTTCAGAACTGGATAGTTATATATGTTTCATGGATACCTCAGCATAGCATTCCCAAAACTGAATGTAGAATCTTAAATCCTCGGGGCAGTGCGGGTGGCTCAGTGGTTTAGTGCCGACTTCAGCCCAGGGCGTGGTCCTGGAGACCTGGGATCGAGTCCCACATCAGCTCCCTGCATGGAGCCTACTTCTCCCTCTGCTTATGTCTGTGCCTCTCTCTCTCTCTGTGTCTCTCATGTATAAATAAATAATCTTAAAAAAAAAAAAAGAATCTTAAATCCTGCGAACTCGACCATCCTTCTATGATACCATCGCCTGTTTAGTTAAGTATCCAAGCCACAGACTTGAAATTCTCTGTGCCTTCTTTTCTCTTGGTGAGTCTATTCCCAATATCTCTCTCATACTTCTCTGATTGGCCTTAGTTCACATTTTAAAAAATGTCTTAGTTCAACTGCTCTGAGAGCTGTCCCTTCCTTCATCTACTTGATAGCAGTGAGCTTTTTAAAATAGAAATCTTACTTTATTACTAAAAACTTACTAGAAGCTCGGATATCACCTACTTGGTAAATCCAGATTCTTTGGTTTGCAGAGTTTTTCCATGATTTGAACTGTCCACAAAACCAGCTTCATCTCCTAAATTCTTATTATTCCTCAGACTCCTGTTTTTTATGGAGTCCTGCTTTTTTTAAGATGTCATTCATTTCTACCCATCAGTTCACCTGGTCTGCTATGTTTCCTCTGCCTGGTTCCTATTAATAAACCTGTTCCTTTCCCTTGAAAAGCTGTTTGCTCTGGGGTACCTGGGTGGCTCAGAGTTGAGCATCTGCCTTTGGCTCAGGTTGTGATCCTGGTCCCTGGGATCGAGTCCTGTATCAGGCTAGCCTCTCTCTCTTCCTCTCTCTCTCTCTCCCTCCCTCTCTGTCTCATGAATGAATAATTAAGATCTGAAAAAAAATATTCACTCCTTATTTTGTGTATATCCTTATTAATATAATATTTGTTTCAGAGTGCTTAGAATTAGGGTTTTACATGCTATATATATGTGCTGTTCGTTCGCTTTTGGTAGTCAGCATGGCTTGAAATCTCAGCTTTGATTTTCTGTGGAGTTATGAGCCTCAAGGGCTGAGGCTGGACATAGAACTTTCTCCAGCTCCTAGAACAGTTCAATAATTTGACATATATCCTTGTTTAGAATTCGCAAGAATTCTTATTACAAGTAGAAACTAGATGTATTATTTTAATATATAATAGAAGCATATCATTCTTAGAATACTCAATACATATAATTTTACTTATTTTTCAAAAGATTTTACTTATTTTATTCATGAGAGAGACAGAGAGAAACAGAGACATAGGCAGAGTGAGAAACAGGCTCCCTGCAAGGGATGCCAGCACTCCAGAATCAGGCCCTGAGCCGAAGGCAGATGCTCAACCACTGAGCCACCCACGCATCCCCATGTAAAGTACTTTTAAAAGGAATACTAAAGTGAATTGAACAGTTATTTTAAATATATATACTTCCATTATTAAGTAATGTTGGTTCCAAAGTATTTAAGAATAAATTTATCTGGGCAGCCTGGGTGGCTCAGCGGTTTGGTGCCACCTTCAGCCCAGGGTGTGATCCTGGAGACCCAGGATCAAGTCTCACGTCAAGCTCCCTGCATGGAGCCTGCTTCTCCCTCTGCCTATGTCTCTGCCTCTCTCTCTCTTTCTCTGTATCTCTCATGAATAAATAAATAAAATCTTTTTAAAAAAAAATAAAAGTACTGTATGGTGGGTTCATAAACATCTCAAAACATGGTATAAATTAAAATACTGCATATTAGAGCATCTGGTTGACTGACTCAGTCTGTGGAGCATGCAACTCTTGATCTCAGGATTGTAAGTTTGAGCTCCATGATGGGTGTAGAGATTACTTAAAAATCTTGTTTTTTCCTTTAAGTTGGCTCCATGCCCAACATTGAGCCAGAACTCAAAACCCCAAGTAAAAGAGTTGCATGCTTTACCTCTGAGCCAGCCAGGTGCCCCCAAAATAAAATCTTTTTTAAAAAGCCTTTGCACATGGTATTTTCTTGAATCACTGTATACCAATACAGTTTCAGCAAAATAGCAAAGTCCACTTGTATTCTATTCTGAGCTGTGGTTAATATGAAAGTTGGTTTGCCTGGGTGGCTCAGTGGTTGAGTGTCTGCCTTCGGCTTTGGGGCATAATCCTGGGGTCCAGGATTGAGTTCTGCATCGGGTTCCTGCATGGAGTCTGCTTCTCCCTCTGCCTGTGTCTCTGCCTCTCTCTTTCTCTCTTGTCTCCCTCATGAATAAATAAATTTAAATATATATATATGAAAGTTGGTCACATTTGTTAGTTAATGTCCCTACAATTTTAGAAGCAAATAATTCTCTTTGGTTGTATAATGTTTGACACTTTGCAGTGTTTAGAAAAATGTGTGTACATCACTTCACTGGTATTAGTTTTCTGCTACTGATATCTATTGAAATTGGAGATTAAAATTGGTAAGTATAATTGCTCCTTTTTTCTTTTCTTTTTTTTGGTCAACATTTGTGAATCAGAGCTTCAGGTCAGACTTTTTTTCTTGAGTGACCTTGTTTGCAACAGAAAGTTGAATCAATCACATTTTATTTATTTATTTGTTTATTATTTTATTATTTTATTTATTTATTCATGAGAGACAGAGAGAGAGAGATAGAGATAGAGAGGCAGAGACGCAGGCAGAGGAGAAGCAGGCTCCATGCAGGAAGCCCGATGTGGGACTCTATCCCGGATCACGCCCTGGGCTGAAGGCGATGCTAAACCCCTGAGCCACCAGGGCTACCTAGAATCAATCACATTTTAAATGTAAATTATTTTTACTTAGAAAAAGCCAGTTCTTAGGTCATTAAGTATTGAATATTGTGACTGCATTGTCACGTTGTTCAATTTTTTTCTTCATTATAGTACAAACAAAATCCCGAAATGTTCAAACAGACAGCTCGACTTTGGGCACATGTGTATGCTGGTGCACCAGTTTCTAGTCCAGAATACACCAAAAAAATAGAAAACCTATGTGCTATGGGCTTTGATAGGGTAAGTACCAAAAAGCTTGCTTTTCTGATGTAGTTATTGATTTCAAATTATTGCTGCAAATCCTTGGCTGACAAAAGTCGTTCAAAGATGCTATAAATCAGGTTTTATAAACTTTCTTCTGTTATTATAATCAGTGATTTTTTTTTTCCTTTGGCTAATTCCAGTCATTGGTTTAGAAGCTTGTTACGCACTACAGATACAAGGTGTGATTTTTCGATATGAAGACAGTGCATGATTCAGTATTTTAAAAATATTTTGAGATTTGATTTTTTTTTTGTCCCCTTTCTTCCCTACAGAATGCGGTAATAGTGGCCTTGTCTTCAAAATCATGGGATGTAGAGACTGCAACAGAATTGCTTCTGAGTAACTGAGGCATAGAGAAAGAGCTGCTGATATAGTCAAGCTTGCCCCTCTTGAGGAGCATCAACATCTGTTATTTTTAGGATTCTGCATAGATTTCTTTTAAACTGGCATTCTTGCCTAATGATGTTATCTAGGCACCATTGGAGACTGAAAAAAAAATCCCTGCTCTGTAAATAAAACTAATTAAACGTCTGTGTAAATTTAAAAAGGGGAAATACTTTAATTTTTTTTTTCTTAATAGTGTAAAAATTCTTTGAGCTAAGCTAAAACCATGGAAAAAACATGCTACTTTAGTGTTTAGCAGTGTACCAAGACTAGCAAGAGTTTGCTTCAGGATTTCGTTGAATAATTAAGATAATATTTTGAGTGTGTCAGGGCCATTCAAATTGTTGGTGTTGCATCACAGCTACCTTAACTGTTTTTAATATGGATCCTCTGTGCCTGTGAATTTACTTGCATGCTTGTACTTGACTTCTTAGGATGGGTAGCTGAAAAGACCACCATTTTAAGCATTTGAGAATTCTTAAATATGAGATTTATCCAGAATTGAAGATGGTGACCTATTCAGAGCCTTTTTGTCCTTGTCAACAGACTAGGACACCATATCTATTTTTCCCCTTCTTACCACACACAGCTAATATTCTAATAGTAAATTTCTCTATATTTGGTGGGGAAATATGCCGAGGGACAGTATCCCTTGCTCCATTTTTAGGTCATACATTTGGAATGTTTTGTTATAGCTCCTCACTATTAAAACTTTCCAATGTGAGTAATAATGTAAAAATGGAGCTGCCAATTTTGTTCCTCTTGCAAAAATAGTAAATACTTGTTGCAGTATTCCCAAGATTTAATGAAAGAACCTAACTTAGTTTTTCAGTGAATTTGACATCTTTCTATTTTTAAACTGATGAAATTTTCTTTGAGAACTTGAAATGATGCAATCAACTATTGGCAGTTTTTTAGCCTAATTTTGGCTTTACAGAGATTACTTTATCAGGTACTTTAAAAGTCACTCTTGATTGCATTTGCCCCTATTGACACATGAAAGCTGTGTGGTGTTCTACTGTACATACTTCAGATACACATAGGAATAGAAGTGTGTTATAAATCTAGCTTTCTTTATGATGTTTCTGATAATATGAGAATTGAAAACTTTACCTTTTCTTGTACATAGTCAGACTTTCTATTCGTATTAAAGTTACATTTCATTCTAAGTTCAAAAGTTTGAAAATTATTAGTTTTGCAAGCTCAAACACTAATGTGACCATTTTATGAAGACTGAAATGGATTTATGCAGGCAGTTCTATACATAGAAACAGTTCTTATTAAATTTTCAGGACCAATGCAGAATAACAAAAATGTAATGGAATGAGAATGAATTAAAGTAAGGCTGTATATTGAAAGTCATATTTATAAAAGGTTTGCTTTCTTCAAGTGTTATTTATCCTAAATTATAATCATTAAGTGTTTGGAAAATAGTTTTGAACCATAAATTCAGCATAATTTCATTTGACTTCTCCATAATCTTAGAAGCAATAAAAGAACCATTATTAAATATATTGTAATATTAAAGATGTGAAGGTTCTTCCAAAAACTTGTAAGGCTTTCCTAATTAATAGTAAACTCTTGTAGTTGATATTATTGCATACTAAACACAAGTTGCTATGTTTTTTTCCCCTATATATTTGCTTAAGCATAAATTTCTTTATACAATCACCTCCTTTAATTGTTATAGTTTAGTTACTTTCTAAAGATGCCAAAGGAAACAAGATTTTTCTTTATTTATTTTAAATAGCTAAAACCTTGTACTTTTCTTTATATTTTGAAGTAAGGTTGGGATTGTGTGAAAATGTGGGCAGCTTTGTTCCACTATTGGTTAGTTTGTTTTGTTTTGTTTTGTTTTGTTTTGTTTTAGTGGAGGGTTGGTTTGGTAATATTTGGATTATTTTAAATATCAAACACATCTACCCAATTAACTATTTGCATATATTATCAGGGTATATTTAATTGTCCTGTGGTTAGAAAAAGAGAATGAACTCAGAGGTTACTAAGGTCAAGCATTACATACTTAGCTCTTGGAGGCAGCTATACCTTTATACCTTGCCTTTGATTTTTATGCACATTAGCCCCATAGGTAATCTCATCCAACTATACTTCAACATCCTCAGTGCCCAGGAAATTGAAAAGAATAATATTTGGTATGAGAGGTTCTCCATAATGCATTTTCATTTCAAAAATTTACTTACCTCCTTTACATTAAATGTGATAATCCCTCTCTTTTCTGGTGCATTTCCCATTGTCTTTCAGTTTCCTGTTTTTCACTCTTCTACAGATAAATGTATTTCCCCAAACATAAAAATTAAGGCAGTTTTTCCCCCTCTGGTCTTAACGTGTTTGGGAAAAAGACACTAAAAGTGCAGGTCTAGAGAAAAGATACCCTGGTGGAAATTATTTTTATATTTCTGACTTTTTTGTGATTCATCAGTTGTAAAGGCCTCAAAAATGATGGTTAAATATATATATATTTAATGCATATATATATATATTAAATGATACCTCATTTAGGGCAGGCAGATTTGCTAGAGGTCACTCACTGATATTCCAGTAGGCTTTTATTATAATTGGGTGTTTCCTGGGTATGTCCCCAACTTTTAAAAAGACAAATACTTAGTTGTATAGTATTTCAGTACAGATTACTGACTGAATGAATGAATAGCAATTTGTCACCCAAGTAAGTATACAGTAGGTGGTATATAAATATTTGAGGAACTTTGTACTAAATTAAATTCTTTGAGTTGGCTCCCCGAAATATTTGGAATTGTGACTGTGGTTTACTTAAACACATAATACATTCAAGTATATATATGTTTGGATTCTGGGTATTTTTCTTTTGAGGAGAGTAATCTATGAAATGAAAGTAAGACTGACTTTTTTTTTTTTTTGGAAGTATTTCACGATTGTTGGTGGCGCTTAAAACTATGCAAAAATAATTTTTAAAGTATCTATGAGAAAGAATTGGCAGTTAAAGTGGATATTGCTTATTTATGCACTATAGATTGCAGCATATTGTGTTACTGTTTAGGCTGCTTATTAATAAGTTTATCGCTATGAAAAGCAGATCTTGGCTATAAGTGTATGCCTGATTTGAGCTTTTAAAACTCTGCAGTAGGGATATGATAATGTTCCCACAGTACTTATAGCAACACAGGAAAAAATAAAGCATTTTTGTTGTTTTAAAGATTTAAGATGGATTCAGGCAGGGAAGCTTTGGAGTCAGGTATACTTTCTTGTACATAGATGGAAACAATGTTTGGATATGATGATAAAGGAAGCCGTCTGTTTACAGTTAACTTTATTTCATGGACTTTTACAAAATGATGTATTAATCACTTTTTCTAGTTAAAGAAATTTCAATTCCAGGGTACAAACCATTGATTTTAAAAATTCGCATTTCCATTCCTTTAGTACCAGTTTAATATAAATGCTTAACATCAGCTGTTTGCTATCACTGGGGAAGAAGGTAACTTGAAGTATTTACTGATAAATAGCCTTTTCCCAATGTTACTTTTCTGCCGTGTCTAACATATAATGTCACATGTTCTGTTTGCACTGTTGCAATATGGATCAAAAATCTTGTGGCATAGGGATAGGGGAATGTTAGTATCTCCCTTGTCCTGTTTGTTCTGTTACTGCTTTATTGGACTGATCTACCCTCATAAACCTGTGATCTTCACCTAAATGTAAGTTGTGAATGTGTCACCTTTTGCTTGGTTATTTCAACCATGCTGCTATATATATCAGGTGTGGCACAGTTTTATCAGTTTGGTTCTAGGGGGTGAGTGAATACAAATCATTGCACTGTGCTGTTAAATGATCCTTGTGTGCTTGCTGTTACCTACTTTTTACAGGCATCATAATAAAAGCTAGACTATTTCTTTGGGGGGAAAGAGACTTATTTAATGTAATTTAAAGACTTTTCCAATAGAAAATGAAATGCTATTGAAAATAATATCTATTTTTTAGCTTTCAGCAATTGATGGTGCTTTGTTGTGGTGTCTGCTGGAAGTCTACTGCCATTATAGGGATTCTCATTAACCTCACTGAGAAAAGAACCTTGCTTGTTAGCTTCTCTAGATCTCTATTCTAAACAATCTGTTAGTGATGATAAATTCTGTAGGAGGGTCTATTCTGAGCCATTAACTTCCTGTAAGGGGAAAATGGGAGGGTTACCAGAAAGACCATTGAAGCAGGGTGGGCTGTGGGTGGAGGGTTGGGTATTTGTCTTGAGAATTAAAAACTACGAAACACTTTTGTACACAACTGATTTTTTAAAAAATAAACACATTTTTAAAGATGTTGAATTTTTTTTCCCCCCTTACTGGGAATTCTTAAAAATAAATGCATGCATGTTTTCCCCTGAAAATGGTTTATATCTTCTTTCTGGGTACTCCTCTAAGGATAGGCAGTTAAGCTTCCACATTACTTTGAGCAAGAAAAAGAACCAGGTAGATCTGTCTCCTAGACAAGGTTCATAGTGATGAGGATATGATGATAAATGGGATAAATTATATTGGATCCTTGAATTTAAAAATGTGTTGAAACTGTTTAAAGTTATTTATTTGAAAATAGAACATTATTTGGCTAGGTTCTAATCCAAAATACAGAGTAATCCAGAGTGAGTTGGTACTGAAAGTAATGTTTATTCTGTTTTCATATATGCACACAAGTCATTCTGGAAAGAAGGTGCCCGTTCCCATGGAAAAGACTGAATTGTTTCAGGAAGTCCTGGGTTACTATCCTTGGATTACCCCCTGCCTCCAATACTGATAATTTAAAAGAGGCTCTATTGGTTAGGTTTTGTACTAGTTTTTTCACATGGCAAAACTGATTGTTACTTTATGTCTCTAGGGCATTCATAACCAGCTCTCAGCAGACCTATGACTTTTCTGTAGCCTGGAGATGGAATTCCTCCTGACTGGAATACCAGTATGAAGTGCTCTTTTCATGGAGCAAGCTGGATCTTTACATATTAAATCAAGAATAACAGATGGAATTCAAGTGAGCTCTCATACCAACCCCTAGCAAAAGATGGTCAGATTCAAGGGTAGTAAACACTTGGTATATGTATTGTTTCAATCATTGAAGAATTGAAAATTTTCAGTGAAATAACATGAATTCTCTAATGCCTTTTAGAAGTAATGTCCTATAGTAATATACTATCTACTCATGTATTCATGTTGTAATGTTCCTTTTACCCCATTTAATTTTAGTAAAAAGACATTAAAGCACAACTTTATTTAATCTCCCTATTGTAAACTGACCTTTTAATAAGATACAGAACCAAAATCAAGAAGGCCAAGCTGTTTAAATACTCAGTGTACAATATATAGAGCCTTTTATAAATACATATAGGTAAAGCAAATAAAATAAAACTGGACATTTGAGACACCCAAAGTATTTTCTTACAGAGTTAATATACCTAATTTGTTTCTCATTTACAGCATAAAAGCTTTGCTGCATGTACAGAATATGACTAACTTGATGTAAGAGCGACTAGTCACAGGCCTTTTCTTCACTTACACAGCTAACATACAGCTCTTTAGTTACTGTATTTATTCCTCAGTTTTTAATATGTGAAATACATTTTTCCTTTTTGTGCACATTATTGTTTGCATTATAGTATGAGATGAATGACATGAGTTGGATACCTAGAGTCACAGGGGTTTTGTTGTAGAAACCCCATGATATTGTATTTCTATGTGCCTACTAAACTTGGTAGCATTTTAAGACCTATAATGCTATTCTTGTTTTCCTTGAAAATAGGAAATATGGAGGGATCATTTGCAAGCATGAAAAGGAAAAGCAGTTCAGGTGGGAGTAAGGTCTTCAAGGAAAGTGTACCCAAACCAGTCAAATCAATGGTATGAATTGAACAGAATGTTTGATAAACTAGCTTCAACTGTAAGGTTCCATGACTTCTGTTGAAGTTACTTCACATGCACCAAACATACTTTTCTCTGTCTTTGGAGTAATAGAATAAATAGCAATTTTCTTGGTTTATGGAACCCATAGAAAATGGTCATTTAAACCACAAAATCTAATTAGCCCTGAAAGCCATTTTATTCCATTTGTTTTATTATTTTTATTTTAATATTTTATTCCACTGTAGATGCTTTGATTCATAATTGTATCATTCCATCTGTCTTTGTATATGAAGAGATGTGTAGCTCCTTTCAGTTTAACCTTATTAAGATGTCATGACATAGAGATAAAATCAAAAGACAAAAACAGATTTGGAGCACCTTGCTGGCTCACTAGGTAGAGTATGTGACTCTTGATCTTGGGGTCGTGAATCAAGCCCCACGTTGGGTGTAGAGTTTACATTTATTTATTTATTTATTTATTTA